TTTGGTGGCGCCAGAACATTCACCAGAGCATTGTCAGTTCAGTTGGGGCAACAGGCCTCCATGATCGTAGGACCATACGGGCTGTTAAATCTTTGGCGGAAGCGGGTGTGCGTGCCTTGCGTGAACGTGGCCTGGTTGTGCATGAGGAAGAATTCGCTGCCGGATCCAAGCAGGACAGCAAAGTGCTTGTGTGGCAGGCAGTTCAGCCTCTGCCTCACGGAGTTTGGAGTGTGCGGCTTTCTTTTCAGCATGTACTGAAGATGGTTTCCATCTCCGAAAGACTGCTTGAAAAGGTAGCGGGTCACGCAGCCTTCATGAGCCTGGGTCGCAGAGCCATTGTCAGTTCCTCGTGAAACTGAAACTTTCATACAGCGTCATTATGGGTATCAACATCGGCGAAATGGTGAGTTACATTGGTATTCTACCCCTCATTCGAATGGGACTCCGCGGTTTCAGCGCTCAACTTGGGTTTTGGGGGCTACAGGTGCAGATTTTCCCATTGATGAGATTCAGCAACTGGGCAGATATTCAGGGTGTTGGCGTTTCAACTTGGACCAGTACAAGAAACCACGATCTGTGTGGTCCAACGTTTCTTGCCAATCGGATGAGGATGAGTCACTCCACATTGCCCAGACCAGGAAGGGCTCAGCGTCAACAGGTCAGCTCCTTGGCGCAGCTGTCAAAGATATCGCAAAAGCTGGCTGGCAGCGGCTGAAGGCTCAATTGACACGCAAGACCCCGGAGAACAAGGTGGACTCTGCGGTGTGTTAGATTCTGAACGAGATGTTCATGGGCGGGGACACCTTGAGCCAAGCGCAGTGCGTTGGTCCTCTCAGATCCCGGCTTTCTCTTCCTCACGAAGTTGTTTGCCTCATGGCCGAGCACGAGGGGAGCGGGCAACCTCGTTGCAGGGCCGGCCGCCAAAGGCCAAGGAGTTCGACGAGGCGATGAGTAATCTGGTTGCCGGATTAGCGCGTGGTGGCGGAAACGATATCGTTGAGGCTGCCTTTTTGAAACCGGTCAGAACCGCTGTTTGCAGCCGACCCAGCAAGCCTGGCACAAGTGATGGCCAATGCGGCGGCCAAGCGTGTGATAGAGTGCTTGGACATCCTTACCGGCCACACCGGTGCCAGCCGGGACTTTCTTTTTTGACTGAGCAAGGAGGAAGATGGGCGGCCGCAGCAGTTGGCGAAGAGATGCCCTTGGTGGAGTGTGGGCCAGTTTGGAGAACCCCCAGCGCTCGAGATTGTGCCCTCCTGTGAAGTCCTCACTACTGCTTTTGGGGAAAGCCTTAAAAAAAGGCTACTTCTTTCCTGGCAGTGAACTTTGCATTGAAGCGACTCAGTGGCGCACTTTGCTGTTCATCCAAGCGCGGCATTTGTGGCCACAGTGGCATACCGCACCTTGCACCTTCAGCTGTGCGGGCACGACAGCAGTGGGAACTGGTTGGCTCCTCGCTCAACCATGCCCAGTGCGCATGTGCGTCGAAACAATTGCAACACGTTTTCAACAAGTATTGTCACGGTGACGGCTTCGCCGGGTGGCCTTACAATTGTGGTTTGTCAAAACTTCTTCTGGTCTTTTGCTTGTTGTTCGCAATCACGGGGGAGACATCGCTGCTGTTTTGTATCTTTGATTTCGATTTACAAGTGGTGGCGGTGCTTCCCTTCCAGCAGCAAATGTCGAGTCAATCATTGGCCAAAAACGGAGTCGCTGCCATGGGAGCATGAGTGTGACAACTGATATGTCTTTTGCTGAAGACGTTTGTCACATCAAATTTTGTTTGGGGAATGCCGTTTTGCCACCGGAAGCTGCTTTCACGTGGCGGCTCTGCATGTTTCCTTATTTGCTGGGCGGGCATAGGTATGACCGCTTATGATTCCTTCCTACAACTCCCCGATCACATGTCAAAGTGACCAACTACAAGACAACCAACGGGTTGCGTGTAGTCGTTTTCCGTGCTGCTGGTCTTTTTGAGCCGGCCCAGCAGCCCATCCAGCCTGGCCTACTTCTTGCAAGCAGATGGGGGAAAACAACGGGGACTAACAATCACTTGGTGAAAACATCAATTCCTCCCTGTTCGTTCGGTTTCGGTCTCGGCCCTTCGGCTGTGCGGGGGGCTGAGACGGTCTTCTCCGAAGTGCTGGAACTCTTCGAGGGCCCCATCCACGTGGGCATGGACGAGGTACCGCGGGGCGCTTGGAGCGCAGACCCGGTGGAGGAGGTGGGCAGGTGATTCGGATGATGTGTGTGTGTGGGTGACAGAGTAGGGCTGGGGTGGGCCCTATGCGGCCCTGAATGGTTTGGGCTGGTGATTTTGGTTTCCTGTGGGGGTTGCAGTCTGCTGAGGTTTTGGTTGTGCCCTCGCCGTGCTTCCTTGGGTTAAGACACGGTGATCGGGAGTGTGGCCATTGCTGAAGCGCGGCATTTGGACATGTTTGCAGGATTGTTTGTGGGATGAATTGCGAGAGCACGGGGCGCACGTTAAACAGTGGTGCCTCGACGTGATGAAAAGTTGAGTGCGAGCTGGCCAATTTGAGCTTGTAGATGTGGCCGGCAAACGCGAACAGGAGCGTATGACAAGTGCTTTTGAATGCCAATCTGGGATTTCTGTTTGGACGCAAAGGTAATCGGAAGGTCCAACCTTGCGCAATTCGTTATATTCAGCTTATCCCTGCCACCTTTGTCATCAATACTTGCTTGAATTGAAGTAAGCCTGGTGTGAGCGCTTCGCAGTGAAGCAAAGAGTGGAGGATTTGTTGACTGGGGGTTGAGTAAAGAGATCTCATTTGCCGAAGGATTGCTGGGTGATACCCTGATAGTGCTGAACTGGGGTTATGCAACCTTACCTATGATGAAGATCCTCTACTGGGGGGTTCCTTTCTTTCCGGCTTGGGAGCTTGGTAATTCTGCTGTTACATGCACATTCCTTCCAGGAGCGGCTGCTGGCACAGCTCGCTTCTTGGCTGCAGCAGTTCTTGCAGAATCGCTCCGTGCTCGCGTGGCAGGACGGGATCAGACCATGGAAGCCGGCGTTTTGTTTCTTTTTTTCTTTGCGGGGAGTTCACAGGAAGAGTGTCTAGGCAAATCTTGCAGTGTGGCGCCTCAGGGTTCTATGGTGAAGCCCTGCTTCGTGCCCAGGCCGTCCAGTGAATTGAACCGGTGATTGTGACGTTCGTTGACCACATCAGCCACAAACACATCAATAACATCCAATAAAGCTGGCTCTTGCATGAGCTGGTTCCACAGGGCTGAGGGGAATGTTTGTGCGAACTGTTCAAGGCCCCGGCAGTGATGAACAAGGATGACCTGCCCGCGCAAACGTCTGCACGAGACACCCTGATGTTTCAGCGTTCGAAGCCTGCACTGCAGCTTTTTGCACGTTCAATCTGCTTAGCCTCACGTCTCCTGACACTCGAAGCTTTGCCTTCCCAGACTCCTTCCGTGGCGCGCAATTTGCAGGAGGCCTTCAGTGGGCAGAGCGGCATCGCGCCGGACGCGGCGCAGCGCCCGGCGGCTTTGGCCTGGAAGGAGGACGAGCGCTTCGCGGTGCACGCGGCCAACGGGGGGCTGGACGTGGTGCTCTGCCCAGCGCACTTTCTCTACCTGGACAGCCTCGGGGCTTGGGGGGGGAATGGGACGGGATGTTGCGCCCGAGTCGAGGCAAGCATCGTGTTGGGGTGGGTAGTTGAGGGTGCTTGAGATGAAACCATGTGCAAACCTGAAAGTGGGGCGGCTCTTCCAGCATGACAAAAGTGGGCCACGGAAGCTGAGCCATCTCGAAGAGCTGCAACTGAGGGGCGCACACCATTGCAAAAAGTACATCATAACCATTCCAATCTGGTAAAGTAAGTTGTGTGTCAGCACAATAGGCTGGGACGTCCAAAGTGGCTGGGCATACTTGAAGCCCACGGACATGATCCGATAAACCTGGCTGGAGGTTCTCGCCGAGGTAACTGTTCAATATCCTTTGCCGTGACAACAAGAGCATCGCACAAAACACCTTCGCTGGATCTCACATTGAATCTCACATACTTCACTAGCATTTCTGCTGTTGTGTACACTGCTTGCACGTTAAAATTCATGGCAGCCAGGCAATGGCGCGCTGCTGCTTGCTCACTTCCTTCTGTTTTTCAAGCAAATGGGGGACCCACGGAAATTGCAAGAATTGATCCACGCCTTTTTGGGCAATCTGCTAGAAGCTGGTGTCTTGGCCCATTGTGGTGCGAGAGTGCAGGCAGCATGGAGAAACAAACGCCCTGACAACGTGACGGTATAGGTGCTAAGAAAGCTAATAACTTTCCTAGGACATCATATGAGATGTTGGACTGTTGTCCTAGACTGCCTTTGTAGAGCCCAGAATTCTTTGACAGGACATCGTCCAAAGCCTGGACTTTGATGAGCGTGGCCTCTACTGGGCGGCTCCGGTGTTGCCACTGCACTTGGGCGGCAAGCAGGTAGCAGCTAGCATAGTAGAGGACAAACGCCACAGGGCGTCCTTCACCCACCTAAGCCCGCCCTACCTACAGCCACTGTTATTCCACCAAACACCCACCCCAAGGCCTTACGCCGCGTAGGAAAACAAAAGGGCGCCAAATGACACGGGGAATCTGTTTGCCATTCTGGCAAATGGGGTTTCCATGCACCAGGCAGGAGATATTCCTTCTTTTGTTCTTCCATTTTGATTACTACAGGTACCCGCCCGACTACCAGAGTGTTTCAGAGTTGGGTGGCGAGAGCCTCAAACCGGTTGCTCAGCCTGGGCTCAAATCGGGGAAGCTCCCGGCTTCCGAGGCACCGGGTCTACGGCTATGAGCCCTTGGAGCGGCTGCGGCGCCTGGGCCTGGCGAAGGAGGCGGAGCAGCGAGTGCTGGGGGTTCAGGCCGGGGCTGGGGGTGGGAAATGGTTGAAATGTTCGGTTTTTGCTTGTCTGCCCTCGTGAAGATCTCCAGCCTAAAACCCACCCCAAGCTAGCTTCGTGCAATCCTCAACTGCCAACGAGCCAACCAACCCGCCAACCAACCAGAGAACCAGACCTAGTGTGCACAAAGCAAAGAAACACCTCTAGAGGGTGGCTTACATTCGGGGCAGACCAATTGCGAATAGTTTTGCCCGAAACCTATCGGGGCCACAAGTGTTGGTAGGGTCGGGCATGCGACACGCATATTCATGCTTTGCTTCCACTTGAGCAGCACTGCGTCACCGAGCAAAGGGAGGAGCAGACGGGTGCGCGTGTTGCTCACACATCTTCGCCAGGCACTGCAGCTACACACCCGAGTGTCACAAGAATCTTGACAATACCTACTGAGGAAAGAAGCACGCTACAAATGTTGTCCTTCTCAACAGCGAGCCAATCGTAGACTAAACCACGCATGCTTGTTGCCTGAGATGTTCCCAAATCAGGATTTACCTGCCTGGAAATAGACGCGAGCGTGCCGGCGCCGCAAAGGCAAGATGAGGAGCGTTTTTCCCTGTCAGCCGTGCAAGGCTTGCCGGTGTGACCATCAACGGCTTCACAACCACCTCTTCAGACCTAAGCCAGCCGTTTTGACCATGGCAAACTGGCACGTGGATGTCACGTGTTCGGACAGCCGTGATGTTCGGCCAGCCGTGAGGCAACGGTCAAGACCGTTTTATCTCTTCTGCTTCTCGTCATGATCTCTAACTGCCTTTGGCAATCTTCTCTTTAACACGTGCCCCTTTGAACAGTAACACGCGCTTCTGCCCCTCCCCCCCTTTGGGAGGGGCCACCCAGCCCTGAGAACTGGAAGAACTTCGATCCCGGACGCAGGCAAACCTGTGGACAGAGACGGTAGACTCAGAGGAGCGCGCGCAGGAGGGGTGACTCGGGCGGTCGAAGGGAGATGGGAAATGGGAGGCAGCGAATAGCCTCAAGCAGGGAAAAGAGGCACTGACACCCTGCAAAATGATGTGTTGAAGTAGGGCAGAATTCTAGAAAGCGGGGATTTTGGCAAGGGTCAGCAGCTCATGTGTCTCTCAGCCGCAGATGAGAGAGTCCAAACAACGACTGATCTTGGCTTTGCCCCTCCCCGTGCGCGACAATCCCAGATGCCACATCCCAAACACCCTGTAACACTCTTGTAGCGGAATCTCCTTTTGGTCTTTTGGTGCATCCCCCCCCAAAGGGCTATCTCAGTTTGGTTAGAAAAAGTTCAACTCCTCGGTCTTGCCCCCAATAAAATCTTCCGACCAGTTTTTAGGCAGTTTCCGCCATCAGGAGATGCTCTTCCCACGTCTTCTCGCAGTGGCCGAGCTGGCCTGGAGTGCGCCGCAGGCCAAAGTTTGGGAGAACTTCAAGTGGAAGCCTGGCAGCAAAGTCTTGATCTTTTTTTTCTTCGCGTTCGCTTGCCAAGGTTCAAAACCCGTGGTGTTCTCAAGAGCCTGAAAATGCTGGCAGAAGCTCGGAGTGGATTCCATGTTCCAAGGAAGTTGGCGCCTTCCCTGCTGTGGCTCTCACAGGATGCCAACCTGAGCCGCTGGGGGAAGAGCTGCGGCGTAGTTGCCGGCGATGACTTCATGCGCGCTGCCTGTGGGTGATGGCGCCGGCGGATTTCGCGACTTGGGCGGGGCGCCAGCGATGCCGCTCTCCGGCAATTGGGGAGTGGCTGCCGGCCCGAGGTGTCGGAGTGTGAGCTAGACCAATCTCGGACCATGCAGAGAAGCGCGCGGCTATTATCGTGCACTCATTCTTGCTGCAGATGGCAGAGTCCTGGGAGAGAAACGGTGCGAGAGAGATCTTGGCGCATTGTTTCGCTTTATGCAAGCTGGGCGATCCTATTTGCAGAAGATGGGGGATGGGTGCTCCACTTGTATAGTACTTAGGGCCCAAGATCGTAGCATGAGCTAGCAGATGGCGCTTCTGCTTGTGTTTTTGACCTTCCCGATTGCCATGCGAAATCCAACCGCAAGCCCAGTTTTAGTTTGAGCTTCAACAGGAGGTTGAGCGTTTGAGGGGTTGTGTGCCGAAGAGGTTAGCCTGCAAAGCACAATGCCAGAACTTACTGCCTTTGCGGGGGTGTTCTTTCAAGGGAACCAAAGGAAACAAAAGGACCAAAGGAACGACCAAAACCCAAGGAACTGAAAGGACCAAAGCATGAGCACGAAGGAACCAAATCGTCCCTGGCAACGAGGCCAGAGAACCGGGAGGCTTGGGTGGCCAACTATGAGGCGAGGGGTCATGCAAGGTGTCAGAATCGGAGAAGCCATGTCTCTTCTTCCGAGGGCTCTAGTGGCTCCTGGCTTGAAGCAGGCAAAGCCCGTATGCTGATATGCGGCTAGTCGGCTCGTTGCCTGTGTTCGGTTACATCTCCCTCGGGGTTTTTGGGATCTGACCCTGGAAAGGCCGGGACAAGGGTAGAGCATAACCATGGTGCGGCAGAGAGAGAGAGAGAGAGAGCGAGAGAGAGAGAGAGAAGGGTAGAGCCTCGGCTTCAGGCCCTTTTCGGGTTTCTACAGGCTCTTCAGAGCGGCTCAGTGGCCAAGCCTTTTCGAGCCCCAGGCGAACCTCGCCCGCGCCAGATCCCTGACTTCCGACGTGCTCCGGAAGCTTCGGGTTCGCCCAGCCGGTTCGGCGAGACGGGGGTCGGGCATGGGTTCTTTGGGTTCTGTGGGTTCTGTGGGTTCTGTGGGTTCTGTGGCGAGAAGGTTGGATTGGGGCTTGGGGGGGCTCTTCAGATGCCGTGCTTCATGTCTTTCCGGCTTGGGACCTCTCGGCTCACTGCAAATTGTACAGCTGAAAGTTTTGCAGCTCTGTTTGGCTAGCTCAGACTCAGGTCTCCTCCAGATACTGAGTTACTGTGACCTTCCACCGGCATAAGTTCCACAAAGAAATATGCTTTGCATGATGTGACTTGCAAGGACATGAGTCAAGTGATGTCTCCACGCAGCATTGAAGGAAAGCAAGCGGATCATGGTTTGACCATTGCATGACAGCGATTTTCCGCCATGATATGCGGATGCCTGTCCTGTAATGATTTTGGTCTCACCTTTGCCTCAGGCGGGGTGTGACGAAAGTTGCTTGAGGGGATGGCCTTCCCCATCCGAGATTCGCCTATATCCTCAACTCTCAGGCTCCAGAATCACAGCCTTGACGCTGTGCCGCGGCTTCCGGCCACCATGATAGGGCGTGTTGGTCTCGTCCAGGCAGGAAACTCAATCCGGTCCCCCTAAGATTAAACGTTCCCCCCATAGAAAAAAGCGCTCAGAATACAACTCTTGGGTAAGATTGGGAACCTAATGGAGGTCCTATTGCTAGAATCCTCTCCGGCAAGGCAACCCATTGGTTTGAGGAACAAAGCGCTCAGAATACACCTTTTGAGGAAGACCTTATGAAGGGCGACTCTAAATAATAACCTCTCCCGCAAGGCAACCCGTTGGTTTGAAAGGAAAACACGCTGAGAATACAGCTTCCGAGAGTCACTTTGAAAGGAAAGGGATTTGCAAAACAGGTATTCAGAACGCAACTTTTGTGTAAGGCCTTGTGAAGGGAACTGAATGATAATAACAACCTCTCCGCCCCTGATACGCACATTTGAGGAGCTTGGCTGGTTCCAGCGAGTTTACTATTGGTTTTGGCATTGGGTAATATAAAGCTAGTATTGGCAATCTTTTGGGTCGGCCGGAGGGGTTTTAAAATTACTGGGGATCCGGCTGTAGGAGGAAGAAGGGAATTCTTGTTTGAACCTATGTGGTCTGTGTCAATGGGGTCCTCCTCGTTTTGGATGTGGAGAGAGCAAAAAGCAAATTGTGGACGGGGGCTCCATGAATTGGAGGGAGGTGGCGCCATTTAATGGAAATTTGGGAGCTGGCCGTTTGAGCCAGGTGCCACCTTCCTGCGGCATCACGCCGCAGAGTGCACGGCCTGATGCCCAGGATGAGGCTGGGCCATGGGCAGACGCAAGAACAACCATGTTTCGATCCCTTTGAACATGTCGTGCTAACACGTTGGCACTGCATGCGTGGCCTTCTGTTCTGTTTGCTGTTGTGTCATGCCATTTTACAGTGGGCTTTTCTGCGCGACGTCATCATGTACAAGAATGAGCTATTTTTCTTTGCCATGGCATTCCGTTTTAGATGCTCATAGAGGCGGTTATTGCACTAGATCATGCAAAACACACATCAACACACGTTATCATGTCAAGCTGCATTGGACACAGCGTCATTTTCTTATACCCCACTGAAGCAACCTACATTAAATGGTTTCTATGCTGTGTATGACCCGTCCGTGGAGCAAAGTGCTTTTCAACATGCTCTGACAGAAATGGGTGATCAGCTGCGCATCTCAGACCGCTCACGCATTTCACCGAAAGTGTCACAAGCTGTTGATCGCAGCGTGGCGTGAGCTTTGTTGAAGTTTCAGCTTGTTTTAGAATGCCCCGTAAACAGCATTTGCGAGATACCATTGGCCAGCGCATCGGCCTGTCCCCAGGCTCACTTCCTTTCACTCCCGTAGATGTCTTCATGGTATATCAAATGATTTTTTTTGTGCAGCATGCTGCATGCCGTTTTGTTGTGCTGTAATGTATGACTGAAGCTCTAATCAGCAGCAGCAAACGCCACCACCTCAACCACCACCCCCTCCGCCGCCGCCGCCACCAGCAGCGGCAGCAGCGCTAGCGCCACCGCCACCGCTACCGCCACCCCCGCCGCCGCCACCACCACCATCACCACCATCACCATCACCATGCCAACAAACCAAGCCAACAACAAACCAAGCCGCCAACAGCACCAACAACAACCGAACAACAAACCAGCCACACACCAACAACAGCCAACAGCAAGCCAACAATCCAGCTGCGCTGCGTGTCTTTGAGCTCGAAGAGCGAGGGCAACCCTACCCGCAGGGTATACCGCTGGCGTGTTTTCGGGGTTGCTCACCCAACGTCTCCCACTCAGCTGAGACACTGCGTAAACAGGTTGCTCGGACACGGCTCGCTGACTTGCTTTTGAGAGTGCATATGGTGATGCGAGGGGAGTAAGGATTGCGAATTTTGGAACGCCGGGATTGGCAAGTTTCACTCCTCTAGAGAAAAGTGAATTAAGGCCATGCCATGTGAATCGCCGTGATTTGGACAAGCAGGACTCGCTGCCATCAAGAAAGCACTGGGGAAACCACATGTTTGTTTTGGCCGGGGCGGAGGCATCCGGGTTGCCCTTGTTTGCTGGCTTGGCGGCTGGCTGCCAGTTGCGTCGCTTGAGTCGAGCCGCTGGAGGAACTTTTGGAGGACCTCTTGTTACTTTCAAAGAGCAAGTCAGCGGAGGACGCCGAGGAGGTGCGCCGGGGCTGAGGGGGGGGCTATGGGACAACACTTTAGGATAGGACATTGGTTGTCATGTAGCGGCTAGGGCAAATCGGTTTATCAGTTGGCCCACCTGCCAAAGCCTGATGTGGACCTTTCCATTGAAAGGGAAACGGCAAGATACAATGTGGCCAAGGCAAAGTTTGTGGGAACGCATGACCTTGTGCTTGAAGATGCCCCTCACGCACAGCAAAGGAGGTAGAGATTTCTTGTCATGGAGCAGGATGGACATGTCTTCAAAGTAGGGATGCGCCCATGTGGTTGGGGTCGTACTGGTTCATGCAAACCAAGTACTCGCAAGGGATCCCTACTCCTGATGCATACCCAAATCAAAACAGGAGCCGGCAGCATCAGCTGCGTTTCCCAGTGACGGCCTTTAGAGGGATTCGTGAGTCCGTCGCTCAGCCCTGCTTGTGATTTCCAATGTTGGCAGCATTGCTCGACCACATGTTTGAGATCACGCTGTGCCGTTTTGTTTGGCCTGCCCAAGATGCTTTGATGCCAGTCTCACAGAACATTGTTGCATGAACCCGGGCTTGCTCACCCGCGCGCAGGATCATGGCTGGTGGAGCACTGTCCTGCTTGCAGCGACTTGTTATGGGCAAACTTTCGTGTCCTCGTGCAAAGGGTTTTGGTTTGTAACAGACATCTCCCATGGTGAAAGTTCGTTGCATGGGGTTTTGTCCTGATTTTGGGATTTGTGAATCACTGTATTTGATGCATCCAGACGACCCATGACTTTGTGCACTGTGAGGATTCTCTTGTTGCAGTGGAAGAATGCAAACAACACACACACACACACATTGGGCTTCTAACCCATAGCCCTCCAACTTGTTCACTCTTTATGCTGCAAAAGTGCATGTGTACTACTACCGATTTATACTACTTATATATTCACTGCTTTGCTTGTCCGAGCAGCGCTCCCAATCCATGACAGGTGCCCACCCACCATTTTTTGGCATCCACGCCAATGAGCAACAAGTAGAGGAGGAGGATACAATGTACGTGTTCCAAGCTGCAATCTTTGCCCTTTGGCCATTCGCATGACGGGTCGTAACGCAGGTGCGGAATCATTTTGGTCTCGTCCCCATGTGCTTGGTTTTGCGTCCCATCAAGTTGTGGGCGCAGTAGCTCGAAAGGAGGAAGCGGCAAGTTACAGGATGTTAAGGCGTGTCCGGCATAGTTTCGCTCAGCCTTCCCAAGTCCAAACAGCCTCCGGAAAATTGGGCGAGCAGCTTTGCCGTTTTTTGCATGCAAAGCGCTCGAGGCGCTACGCTTTTGCCCAGCACCGGCAGCACTTGCCAGCGCTACCACGGTGCGCTTGCCGCGTGGCCTGGCGCCGCTGCAAGCACAGGAGGCCGTGGACCTGTCCCGCCTCGCCAGGCCGGGCGGCGCGAACAGGCGACGCGACGTGAGTCGCAGGATGGGACCTTGTCGGATTATGTGGCTTTGGGTTGGAAACTGGGGGAAAGGTGGGGGAGAAGCCGGGGGTTACACGCGCTGAGCTGGCTGGTTGTCTTTTTGGTTTTTAGGGTGCACCGGAATGATGAAGATTGAGGAAGCCGTGAATTTGAGACATGCGTGGACACGGGCTTGAGAGGGTTTTGTGCGAGTGAAGGAAGCCAAGCAATGAACATTTTGCAAAGCCAGACCCAATTTCGCCAGCTGGCAACTCACCACCCACCCACCAACTCACCCACCCACCAACCCACCCACCCACCCGCCTGCCCGCCCGCCCACCACCTCACCCTTCACCTAATTTGGCTGGTTCCCGCTTGCCAGAAGCAGGAGGGGGCTTCTCACTCCGCACGTAGGCTGTTGCAACGCGCTTGTCTTCGTGGGGATCCTGGCCAAAAGGACCGACTGAGATTGAAGGTCCCTGGAGGAGTGTCCCTCTTTCATACGGGTTTTTGGCGAAGTGGCAGTGCCGCCAGTTCGGCGCCTTATCGGCTTATTGCCTGGCAATGAACGAAATCCAACTCCCCGGAAACCACAGGGCAAGCTTTCGGGGTTACCATTGGAAGGTCCTTCCATTGCCTCACTGGACCTTTCTATGGTCTTTTCAGGGGACACCTTGTCTTCGCATGCCGAGTTCAGGCAATCTTTGAACTTGCCTAGGGGATTGCACAAGTTTCAGACAACAATTTCAGACACCTTTTGGACTTTTATTGACCCAGATTTCAGTGGCCTCTTTCTCCCGTATGTTCCAGTGCTTCCTGCAACCAAAATGACTTTCCTCCCCATGAAAATCAAGGCAAACGGCAGTTAGATTGTGGCTTGCAGACTTTAAGGTTCCCGCATCGTTCGCCCGTTTGGCGAACACTGCTAGGACGCGCCCCGAATCCGCCTGGGCGGCACCTTTGGGTTTGGGTGGCTGTCAGTGCCGGAGCTGCTGGGCGTGCTTGGCAGCCCGGAGGCGCCGGGCTCAGGCAATGTGCCCACATAGTATTTTTGCATGACACCCCCTACTGGAATGCACACACACACACACATATATATATATATATATTGTTTTTTTTCCAGGCTGTGGACCCCCCTTCCCCCCTTTGTGGGGGTGGGGTGGGGGTAGGTGGTTGGGGTGTGGTTTGGGTTTGTTTAGGGTTTGTTTAGGGTGGGTATAGGGGTAGTGGAAAGCCCTCTGCCATGGTACAAGAACAGCACGATCTTCTTTAGACATGCCCAAAGACAAACTCAGGGTGTCGTTTGTAAGCAAAATGCCCTTAGATCGAGGTTCCGTTTTGTTGGGGAACGGACGCCACAGGAAACCAACCATTTTCGGGCTCGCGCCATTTGTCGGACTGAGTCACCCCCTGTCAAAGCAACCTCGTCAAGAGCATCTTCCCTACCAGCCCCGTCCTATTCAAACTTCCGCACTCAGAGAGTCCCCGCGGCCCGGCCAAGCATCAACTTTTTGATTTTGATGCAACTAAAGTAAAGGCGCAAAGAGGCTGGATCTCATTCTAGTCTTTGATAGTCAGTCTGAGGCTGCAAAGGCAGCCAGAAAGGAGGTCCAGGCAGTGGCCATGGAGTCCGCAAGGATTGGGCTTGGGCATGGAGGGTTGGGCGCATCGGATACCAAAGCAACCCTTTTAAAGTGATCATGCCAATTTGTGACTATTTCAATCCCACTTAGATTTCCTGACAGGCAGGGGCAGGGCCCTCCAACTTTGCGAAACCAACAGGGCCCAGGGTTGGTAGGGCCTTAAAGGAGAGAGAGAGAGCTTGGCGGGGGAGGGGCTCTTTCCGTTGTTGCTTGCAACACAACCACAGGCAAGCAATGTCTCCATGGAACCATGATGGGCTTTGTAGAATAGGGACCTATGTGCCCTGACGGTGCAAGGCTCTCCCCCAAAGCGTCTCGACGGACCACACAAATTTGTTTTGGCTCGGGTCCTGCAGAAATTCTGCTATCGAAGCCCATTCTTGTGACGGTTTGGCATTGCACCTCAATGTCGTGATTGGCACTGGATGCTTCTTTGTCGCGTTGAATGATGTCTGCTACCCAATGCTTGATAGCTCTTTCCCGGGAATTTGGAATTTGCAACCTGCTAAGCCAGGTTTTCGTGTTTGCATGTCTATGCCTCGGACAAAGTGTTGAGCAGCCGTGAATCCCTTCCTTCGCCGTTCGCAGCACCCCCTAGCTTCTTGCATGCGCCAAGAGGACTGGAGTTTTCGAGCAGAAGACGGCGCAAATACACCACTTCGCCATGCTGAAGTGGGCCGGGGCGGTGCCCCATTTGGGAAGTGGGGAGGTGGGGAGGGAAGGGCTGTGCGCTTGGAAATGGCGAAGGCAGTGAATAAGTTGATTCGAATTGCTTGACTTCTCTCGAACCGGAAGCGGTTCAAGTCAAAGCTCGTGGACGGGTGCTTTTTGGGGGTTCTGGCCAGTGTTGTTTTGTGGGCATCAAGAATGGCGAGGCAACAGCCGTCCGAAACACAATAGAACAACAAGGCGTGATAAAGCAAGGGAACACACACACACACGAACGCAAACAACAGCACACATGGATAGGTGCTGCCAAACCAAGGGACGAAAACCAAGCACTCTTAAGTTGGGTTCGTCCATCAGAGACAATTCTTCATGACCTTTGAGGACTGGTCCGAGCAGAGTGACGCTGGCCGCACCCCACTGCACGCGCTCTGCGCGGGCGCCTGTACCCGAACCTGTGTCGGGGGAGGGGGCCGGGCGGCGCCTCTGCGGGGCGGAGCCTGGGGCGCTAAAGCGCGATACTTGGCGCGGGACGCAGGCAGCTGGGATGGGCTGAGTGGTTGGGCAGCCGTGCATGAAGGGCGTGCAAAAGCATTTGGTGCATAGCTGTGCATTTCCGCGTGCTAAAGTCATGGGAATAGCAACCGCCGAGGCCTGACGTTCAGGTCAGGATGCAAAGATGATGGCTGATCAGATGCAATCTAGGAACAGAGGGTAGTGGGCATGCAAACTTGTTCTGTGGTGACCAGTGCTTCTGGAGCGCTGCTTAATTGAGCATGCTTGCTTGTGCCAATCGAATACACTCAGTCGGATACATGTGTGTCATTTGACGCGGCTTCAGTCGAAAATCTGCGTGCCCGTCGAGCGAAAGCCAGGCGAGTGGCACGCCAGTGTGGACGAGCATGGCCTGTCGCCCTTGAACTATGTCCTGCCGCCGATCAAGCCGACGTGCAATTGCGTGGGAACGGTAGACTGGGAGCTGATTCAAAGCCTCTCTGCGGCGATAGATCCTTTGTCTCCTAGATCTGATGGAAACTATCAGACTTTCCATCAAACCTTCAATTCGCTTGGGGAGAGCTACTCAGGTCTGATGAGCTTTCTGTGGCTGCAGTTCGACCCTCACCGCATCCAGCACCAGGCGATGCAGGCCCTGTCGGCGCCCATCAACGCCTTCTCCTGCATCATTGCCGTCATGAACACGCAGCTGAGCTGGATTGATATGCCCAACGACGGCGGGAGCCTTGAGGCGGGATAGAGGGGTCTGTTCGTGCGGGTGCACCAAGCACTGGCATGCTTCAGGCGCTAACTTTACGAGAGGAGATCCTGCTTCTCAACAGGATTTGTACTTGGAGAGTTCTGATTCTGCAGCCTCATACCCGTTCAAGCTAAAGCATTGAGCGGTTATCCCCTAGAGCAGCAGGGATTTCTTTTTAGAGCTTTTGCAAGTGCCTGGCCTGCTTTTTGGAGTCCTCCGATTTTCTCACTTTTGATTTGCGTATTTGTGCTCTCCTCTCAGAATTCTTGCCTGCCGCCGACGTCGCAGACTTGAGTAGGTTTGCCTCCGTTGTTCAGTAGCACCCCCATCCAGCACTTGTGGATGTTTAAAGCAGACAATAAAACTTGCGAGTAAAACAAGCTACAGGAACAAACGGAGGCAAACCAAAGGTCTCAACTCCAGGCCCGTAGGGACCCTGTAAAAAGGAAAAGCAAGCAGTCACAAGAAGCATCATTTCTCTTTCCATTTGGAAGGTTTCGAAGGACTTGACTAGAAACCTTTGGTTTGCCTCCGTTTGCTGATGTTCTTTCCCCTGGCTGGGGATGAGCAAATCTTGCAACCAACTCAAACTAAACCCTTTCAGAAGCATGCGTCCAGCCGAGGACCTACAGGTAGCTGCTGTCTAGAAGAAACACTTGAGGAAAGAAGGCTATCACGGCAGAGACGAGCGGGGACAATTGAGGAGAGCTAAGCTGGGAAAATGGGAGCAAAAAGTAAAAAGGGTTGTTTCGCAAGTATTGCCATTGTTTGAAACTGTGCCCCAGGTGGATCCAACGGTACAGTCAGAGGAATGCATGGAGCAGGACTACATCTCAACAATGCTTGATGGTGGCGAAGGGCGCGCGAGCACACCTTCCTCGGTGGATGCGCTTCTTGGCTCCACAACAGAGCTTGAACATACTTGAACGATTGACAACGACCAGTTGGCTTGCAGATGTGTAGGCCCAAGCCCTAGAGAGTGGCTTGACCCCTCAAAAGCCTTTACCTGCCAGTTAAGCCTGGGGAGGTTGAGTCTCAGGTTCAGCTGCGCCCTGGTGGAGTGTCGGATGAACTTTGCGGAGGCTCGGCTTGCCGGAGATTTGAGGGAGCAGCTTGGATTCGCCAGCCGAAGCTTACAACCGAGAAACGGAAGACAACAAGGGCCTGAATGTGCTTTCCACGGAGCCCCCCAGGAACAAACCAGGCCGGGGGACTGGCGCCCCCCGCCCAAGCTGGCGCAACTCTTGACCGTTTTCGCCAGGCCCGTGTCCGGTGTCGCCGCTACTTGGAGCCGATGGTGCGCTTGCAGCTACTGCGGGCAGCTGCCAAGCAGCGGCAGTGGCAAGGCACGCTGCGACCGCCATGCTGGGAAGTGGAAGTACGTCTGTTAGCTTTAAACGAATCTCCAAAAAACACCCGAAAGAAGGAACACGCGCACACACACACACACACACACACACACACACACACACACACACACACACACACACACACACACACACACACACACACACACACACACACACACACACACACACACACACACACACACACACACACACACACACACACACACACACACACACACACACACACACACACACACACACACACACACACACACACACACACACACACACACACACACACACACACACACACACACACACACACACACACACACACACACACACACACACACACACACACACACACACACACACACACACACACACACACACACACACACACACACACACACACACACACACACACACACACACACACACACACACACACACACACACACACACACACACACACACACACAACACACAAACACACACAACACACACAACACACACACACACACAAACACACAAACACAAAAACACAAAAACACAAAAACACAAAAACACAAAAACACAAAAACACAAAAACACAAAAACACAAAAACACAAAAACACAAAAACACAAAAACACAAAAACACAAAAACACAAAAACACAAAAACACAAAAACACAAAACACAAAAACACAAAAACACAAAAACACAAAAACACAAAACACAAAAACACAAAACCACAAAAACACAAAACCACAAAACCACAAAAACACAAAAACACAAAAACACAAAAACACAAAAACACAAAAACACAAAAACACAAAAACACAAAAACACAAAAACACAAAAACACAAAAACACAAAAACACAAAA